GCTTACAGCTACAAACATTGTTGCACCCGCGGGTTGTGTATACATCAAGAATCTGCGGGTGGAAAGTATAAACACTGAATCTTAGCAAATAAAGGTTTGTAATAATACTACATCAGAGTGCAAATAAACTATAAAATACACTTTGGCAGTGCGCCCCGAATCGTGACAATAAGAACCCTACCAACTCTGAACAAAACGTATGATACCTATGCCTACCTTCTGAATCGCAGCTTCGCGTTTCTCGTCGTGCTGACGTTTCTGGCTCTCATTCATGTCTTTCCGCCTCACGGTAGTGTCCAATAAAAGAGGAGCGGCACTATCTCTCATAGCCGTGCGCCTTGGAGCCACGGAGAGAGTGGGCGGTGCCATTGCTGACACACCGAATGCCACCTTCTCATTCTGCAGATGATCAAATTTAAATGCCAGCGTTTCCGCGATATCAGAGCTTAAGTAGATAACTGATGCCAGGCGGAATATAAATCATCTGATCTTCAGGCTGATCAGGTCTAGAAGCAAGTATGTATACACTCAGGCATAGGTGAGGGCGTAGACCTTCGAACCGGCCCCACTTGCAAAGGTTTGGATGTTCAATATAAGGTGCGATGAATGTCTATCCTATGTTGATACGATCACGAGTGCAAAGCTAGAGAAAGCATCCTTACTCGGAACACAAACGTAGATGCATACCCTGAACACCTTGCTCTCCGCCTCCTTGATCTCTGCGTCAATCTTCTTCTCGCCCGACAAGCCTTGACCCGTAGCACTGGCTTTCTTGGCCGTTTTCTTCTTGTCAAAGTAAGCCGTTCGCTTCTCGTTCTTACGCGTTCCCTTCTTGACGTTAGTGTGAAGTACTGAGCGGAATTGCTGCTCAACCCGTGAGGCGAAGTCCTCGTTGGTCTCGTCTGCTCGCTGCTTGACTGTTTTGGTTTCTGTATGGAATAGAATTCGATAATCTAGTTGCGTTAAAATAGGCAACACTGGACATTTATAGGGAACAAATATAACCATACATATTTAGAAAAGGCATGCTTGTGGAAGTCTCGCTTTTGGTGTAAGTTATGAATTATTGCCTGTTGCGAGAATACTCCGAAGATGCATCGGATAGATTGGCGCTCTATTTTTGTTTGATTCTACGATGCTTGCCACAGTCACGCCTATAGTAGCATCAAATGCACAAAACATGAGATCATCCAGTAGCCTCAATTACTTGATTCTGGGACGAATAGGCACACACTGACGCTCATCTACACTCTTGCCTTTGCACGTAAGGTATTGTCAGGATGTACACAGACGGTCGTAATCCGGGCCAGAAGTGTACACACCACAATAAACCTATACGGTACCAGCAGCAGATGAGTGGAGAACAAAGCACACTGACACCACTAACCTCGGTAGTATATACTACGACAGACATCTTACCAGGCTTGTCCTTCTGGCCCGAAGCCGTCGAAACGGGTACTTCAACGGTTTTTTTCTTCTCCTGCACCCGTTTCTTTCCAGTCTTGGTCGTTAGCTTCTCAGCCAGACGTTTGGCCTCCATGAAGCGCCTCATAGAACGAGACATCTTCTGATCGACCTTAGAGCTCGGTGCACGATCGAAATCCATACTATGAAGGATACGGTACAACGCGGTCAGCAATCAATTACAAATTCCACCAGTGATATTCACAGCCATATGATGAGACAGAATCTACTATAAACGTCAAATTAATGCACACTTGTGACATTTGCATATCCACTCATGTTTGAAGATATAGTCGTAACAACACATAAATAGCGCGCATGAAATTTAAACGGAGAAAAACAACCGATAACAAAATTGGGCTAGGTTAATGATTGACACAAAGAGCATGTATAGTCATATCCCCATGACAATCGCACAAAGCAAATTTAGAACTATTCAATGCCGAAAGAAAGTACTGTCTTGATAAATATATATATATATATATATATATGTAAACATATAAGTTCAATATATTGACATACACGAATATGTATTTATATATATATATATATATATATATATATATATATATATATATATATATACATTTACATATATATATATATAT